CAAAACACTAGAGGCAAATTTTCCCCTTTATTCTTATACTTAAAATTTGTCATACTAAGGGGAAAAACCCCACAAAACTCCTCTTGGAGTGTCACTGACTAGTAATAGCAAGCAGCCTAATTCACAAAGCATCTCTGTAACTATGCTTCTTGGTAGAAAAAAAAAAGATATTCTTTTCCAATCAACGCACTGGAATACTTTGGTGCATCGTGAAGAACATATTTGGTATGGGATTCCTGGCTTTCTTCATACTTCCTGGCCAACTACTGAGCAGAAAAGTGGCAAGGTCAGTTAGCTACAGGGGGTACATTATGTTCACCAGTGTGGTTCATACAGAGGTGGATGAACACATAACTAGACAGTCCTGGCAGGTTCTCAGGAAGGGATGGATGCAAGAAAGTTTGGGAAATCATGGGCTACATGAACCAACTAAAGGAAACACAGCTGCTCAGAAGCCCAGAGCAGGGCATTAAAGGAGCAACCCCCTTTAGAATGCTGACTTGTGTAGAAGGACATATTTTGATTGGAGATTAGCAGGTGGATGGTGGTAAGACAGCAAGTATGAGAATAATATACATGAAATTAGAGTCAGAATGACCAGTGGGCCTGTGGAAGGAGAAGACAGTATCTGTAGCAAGGTTCTGGTTGGTTTATTTTTACGCAAGACAAGCAAAAGGCAAAAAAGTGAAGTAACAGGTAAGCCAACTACACACTATAGGAAACAATAGAACAATCAAGGGTAAACAGGAAAATCAGGCTAAAATCTGACTCAGAAAACAAACTGCTTGGGAAGCCAAGAAAACTAAGTAGTTATCAAATGATTTGGTTTCTCAAGAGTAACACCTGGACATGGAGATGGAGGGAAAAGACCAGGTTTTCAAAAAGGGGGAAGAGTGGGGGTACAGAAATCATGAAAAGTATTATCAAACAGTCATAAACATTGGCCTCTTTAGGCCAATTAAATGGATTTAAGTGCCCCCCACCCCCACCCCAATCACTGTTAAAGCAAAAGCTAAGGTAAGATGGTGCCTCAGGAAGGCAATGCCAGGTCATTAAGCAACATTTTCAAAGACTAAAAGCCACTGATGATTCGCCCTCAATCTCCAACAAACTCCACACCAACTGATTTTTCTAAAGTTTCTAGAATCTTCCATGTAGGTTCATGGATAGACTAGAAAGATACAATGGGATGAAAGTACAGTGAGCCAAATCCATAGTAGATTGAACAAGGTGTTCATAGTACCCTTCACCTTATCTACTCAACATGATCATCAAGACCTGAAGCCATGAATCGTAAACTAGGCTTGCAAGTATAGTCCCCAACTTACGATGGTTCGACCATACAGTGGTGAGGAAGCGATACACATCCAGGAGAAACTGTACTTCAAATTCTGAATTTGGATCTCTCCCCTAGCAGCGAGCCACGGCTCCCAGTCAGCCCCATCAACAGGAGGGTAAACAACCGATATACTTCTAGCCATTCTGTACCAATACAACCATTCTGTTTGTCACTTTCAGCACAGTATTCAATTAATTACATAAGCCGGTCAACACTTTATTACAAAACTGGCTCTGTGTTAGATGATTTTGCCCAACTACAGGCTAATGTAAGAGTTCTGAGCACGTTTAAGGCAGGCTAGGCTAAGCTATGAGATCGATAGGTCAGGTGTCTTCAATGTACTTTCCATGACATTTTCAACTTCTGACGGGTTTATCGAGACATAACCGCACCATGAGTCAAGGAAGATCTGGAGCACGGAGTGGGAAAGCGACAGCTCATATAAGTGATTGCATAATATCATTCCCTCCCTACCATCTCCTTTCCTGCCTAGATCAGCATTTCCCAAAATGTGTTCCACAAAATACCAACCCTGGAAATGACACCTGAAAATGGTTTCCCAAGTTCAAAGTATTCGGAGAAGTCTGCATTTCCTTCCTTCGCAATTATTAACACATCAAAAGCTCTGAAAAATTCTGTAATAAGCCTCTGTCTCGATTCAACTTAATGTTTCCCAAACAGTTGCTCTCAAAGCACTTTCACATAGTAATCATTAACTGAGGATGGCTTAAAGTTTAGGCTCTAAGCCAGGTTCACATTTTCTGTGCTAAAGAAATGATTCCACCCCCTTGAGTTGCTACTACCTCATCACTCTTCCTCCAAATACCATAGTAAACACACACACACACACACACACACACACACACACACAACTTGACACTTCCTGCCTCCAGTTTCCTCACCACCCACTCACTTCTCCATCACTGGAAATCTGGCTCCAGCCTCCAGTGCTCTATAGAAAGTCTTCTCATGGTGTGATCAGTGGACAGAGGGCAGAACCAATGGCTTCTCTTTGGCCCCTCAATCCCTCTGCAGGGTCACAGAGGAACAGTCACACTCCCTGACACTCTTCCCTGCCACAACACTGTATTTCACCCATCTCTTTGACTATGTGATCTTTGGTTCCTCTTTATCTTTTTAGCCTTTACATTCGCGGACCAACTCTGACTCCTCCCTTGAGTGAACTGCCCGTGGTTTGAACCCTTTATAAATCCTGAGCCAGTTCCTTGACTTCAGATCCACATTTCCAATGGGCTTCTCAACTTGTTCACTTTACTTTTCCTCAAGGACTCTTCATTCACTATACTCCGAACAAGCTCATCAGTTGCCCCCCCCAAACTTTCTCCTCTTCCTGATTCTTCTTATGAACTCACCATTCCCAGACGATGAGGCGAACAGCAGAGTCCCCTGCTTTCTCCTCAGCCTGACACGGCAGTCTGAACAGGCCTCTGATAAAGTACCTATCATGGTTTACTCTAACTACTCAACATGCTTCCTAGTCTTGAAGCTCCAATCAATCCTCTGTGCAGCCTCTTAGCTAAGACAGAGAAGAAACCCGACATACTTGGAAAAATGGATGAATCCTTTGAATCATACCCAATTCATGGCTCATTCTTCGAACGCCAGTAATATATGAGGTTCTCTTATACTTCAACAAAAGCTCTGGATTCTTTCTATTTACAAGGCCATTAACCTTCATCAGACTCAAATGAAACCCCAGATCTAAACTACGACTACCTCCTAACTGGGCAATCAAGCTACCACTGCTACCAGAGCAATATTTCTAAAATGCTACTCTAACCACATCACTCCTTGGCTCAGACACCTTCAATGGTTTCCCACTATTTCCAGAATACAGTCCAAACCCCTGGGCATGTTATCACTGCCTTCCATGTCTGGATCTCTGCTACCTTTCCATCCTTATTTTCAACTACCCCCTAACCCCCTAAGCTCCCTATGTTCTAGTCCAGGAGTAGGCACACTCCAGCCAGTGGGCCAAATCTAGCCCACTGCCTGTTTTGTAAATAAAGTTTTACTGGGTAACAGCCAATCAACATTTTGGGCCAGATCATTCTTTGTTGCAGGAGGCTGTCCTGTACATTGCTGAATGTTTAATAGGATCATTGGCCTCCACCCACTGGATTCCAGCAGCACTTCCCCAGTGTGACGACCAAAAATGTCTCCACACGTTATTAAATGCCTTATGCGGAACAAAACTGCCCCAATTAAGAATCACTATTCTAGAGATTTCCAAGTACAAGCTAAGAGTAAGTATGATATCACTGCTAATAAAATACAAACTATACAGCAATTGTAGCATAGTGTACAGATTAAGAGATAAGAGTCGCACAGTATTCAGTGCTGGCTGCCTCACTATTGGGAGATTGTGCTCCACTGTGAATTTTAAGAAGACTTTGGATAACTGGAATTCATATAATCCAAGGTGATCAGACTGATGAGAAACTAGTGAAGAATGTCACAGAGGAATATTTAAGTAAATCAAGGTGGTTAGCCTGTACAAGAGAAGATAAAGAGAAAGCCATGATCTTTAAATATCTGTTGTCCTGTCAGAGGAAGGTTTAACTTGCTATTGTTGAGGAAGGCAGAACCGGTGGGCAGCAGCTGCAGGAAGGCAGGTTTTTGGCCCTATACAAGGAAAAGCTTTCTAACAATCAGAGCTGGCCAACAAATGTATGAGGCTGAGTGGTGAAACACAGTGCTCTCGTCATTCTGCAAGTGTTCAAGCAGAGACCAGATGAACTCATGTCAGAGATGCCATAGAGAAATCCTGCCTGAAATGGAAGGTAGGACGAGAAGGTTTCTCTCTGGTTGCTTCCAGCTCTGAGATTCTATGGCTAGTAGTGGAAAAGTCATATGGCACGAATAATAAAATTCTCCAATTCCAAGACCTTAATTACAGCATAAGAGAAAAATATTTTGCTAAACGATTTACCCTATGTCTGTCTGGTAACATTTTACATTTAGTCCCTGACACGGCGACTACCAGTGATCTGTTTTTTTCTAATGGACCTGTAATCAGTTCTAAATAATGCCTATCACTACCTTTAAACCATCTCTTTCATTCTGCTAATGATCACCACACCAGTACAATTTGTACAATGCTTTACGGTTTTCCAACCATCGTGACATACATTACCTTACTCACAGTAGCTAAGTATGAGCATGAACACTTATTTTAGATAACCTGCTCTCATTTACTGTCTCTTGCCTGAATTTCTTATGAGAGAAAGCGAGGCCTTATTATTCATCAAATATTCACTACGAAAATAAAACATATTCTACAAGATACTCATCTCCAAAACAAATTATTTATCCACACCCGAGAAATAAGCCAAATCTAGTTATTTCAACATCAAAACATGGACTTACCTCAGTGAAATTTCTATTTTATTTATGATTTGGGGAGGAAAATTTGAAACACTAGAATTCAGCTTTCCCAAATTTCAATGTGGCCATACAAACTAAAAGTTCCAGAAAGCAGTCACAACAAAATGTGAAGCATATGTGTTGTTGACAAGCAAAGCCATTGTAGGTCCTCATTGCAGGGACTCCTTTATTCCCCAGCTAAAACTGCCAACACGAGTTGTGTAAGGACTTTGCTCCAAAGCTAAACTGGGCCCTCACCCACTGCTTTACTTACTTCTTTACGTTTCGTTTCTGGACATTCCGACTGCAGAGTGAGAGTTGCACCTTCGATATTTCTTGGCATGGGCGTGGAACCAGGGTTTATTGTTAAATGAATCTGATCTGGTGAGATAATGTGTTGCACATAACCCTGGGACATTGCTTCATGATCTATTAGGTGAAAGCCTTCTTCACCCCCTACTAGAAAAGGCAAGTGTTCGCCACACTGTCCATCGTCGTCTTCATCCTCCAAAGTGCCAGGGTCCTGCTCAATAAGAACAGTTGTCCTATCATAAACAGTTCCAGATGAGGAAGGCACCAGTCCGTTTTTATCCACAAACCTGAGCATCTTGTCATCGGGGGTCAGCTCATCTTCCTCTGCCTCAAAGTAGATGATGTTGTCGTCTGGACTGTGTTCCCCCATGGTTCAATCGTGCTCAGCCCAATTGTGAGAAATGGAAAGGTAATGACCTGTCTGCAATAGGACAAAGCCAGAGTTAAGAGTCAAACCCAGGGACCTCCTCAGCAACCACAGGGCTCATTTTTCCTCTCACTTGAAGAATAGACCAAAGTAAATGAAAATCATCTTCCTTGGGAATATTTTTTGAAGTTTAACTTTGAAACCATCAAGTCATTTTAAAGGAAAAGCAAAGTCTTTAAAAAAAAAAACAAACTGAAGAAATAAGTAGCAGTTCTTAAGACCTTCCAAACATGCCTTACTACCAAACAATTCCTAAAGGGGATAAAAGGGCAAACTGCTTCAAGGCTGAGTTGTTTTAAGTCTTAAAGTAAGAAAACCCCAGTCACATATCCCCCAGATTAGACCATGGGGGCAGCGTAGTCTATTGTGGAAATAGAACTTTGGAAGCAGGGTCACCTACCCACAAATCCCAGCTTTGCCACTTACTACTTGGGTAACTTTTCTGTACCCGATTTTTCTTGTGGGTAAGCTGGGACTGGTAGTTCCTTCTCCCAAAGTTGTTACGCAGAGTAAAAGAGATAATATATGTTAAGGCACAATGTCTGAGAATAACAGGGAAAACAAGTGTGAATTCATTCCCTCCTTCTAAAACAGATGTTTCAGCTTCTGGGTAGGGGGGCTGATCCCCAGTCAGGCATATTCAATGAAGATCATTATATCCATTAATCTTCTAAAACAACGTGGTGTCCGCTAGAACCTATGCTTGTATAGTGTGCTCTCTGCAGTGAGGGAACGGTGAATCTTATTTTTGTTTCTACTGCCCCTCGCACAATACAATTACACCAAGAGTTCAGGAGATGTCAGCTAAATGAATGAAAGACCTGCAGATATACTCTCTTGGGAAGACATACTCTCTTAGAAAGGTATGTTCTCTTGGAAAAAATACCAAATTTGAAGCTTTCCTGTTCTGGATTCGTTCTTCTTCCTTTAGCTGCAAACACACAGGTTCTACAAATGTGGGTTTGGCAGGCAGAACAGAATTTAAAAATAATCAGCACATCACTTTTAGTTTTCAGTCTGGCTTTGCACTTTTTCTCTTCTGCTCTGGGTTAGAAAGTGAACCTTTACATAGTGGGGCGGCTAGACAGAGAAGTATTTAGCAGAGACAGGCCAAGGGATCAGATCCGGGAGGAACCTGCCCGACCCCTTGCTCTGGCTTACGCAACCCGGTAGATGCACATTTCGCTGCATCTGAGGAGAGATAAGAGCACCGGAGGCCCCACAGGGCTTCCCCGGCACCATCAGCGGCTAAGCGGAGACCAACTGTCCGGAACAAACAAGACCAGGAGGCTTGAGGGTGGCATACGAGGAGTACAAACGGAGTACCCTTGAGAGAAGGCTGAGAAAAGGAACCTGACTGGGATAGCCCCCAGACGGGGCTACACAGAAAAATCTGAAGACAGGCTGGGGGGCTCCAAGCCGGGCGAAGAGGGGCAGGGTCCGGGTCTCCATGGAAACAGGGAAGGGGGGCTGGATACCCATCCCCATGGAAACGGAGGAGGGGTGGGGTCCCTATGGTGACCAGACTGGGGTCTCTAGTGGGAAATGCTTCAGGAGGGAGCCTAAGTCCCGCGCCCCCCGGGAAGCCCCCAGCCCAGGCCGCGTCTAGTTTCGCCTTTTACCTCCGCGGCTCCCGGCAACGGCGGCAGCGGCAGCTTCTCCCCTCCCCAGCGGCACCATGATTGCCCCCACCTTCCCCGAACGTCACTTCCGCTTCCGCTTTCCGGAGGAAGGAGGAGATACCGGCCCCGCCTCTCCCTGGCGCTTCTAGTTGGTTTAGGCGGTGTGGGGGCTGAGCTCGAGCCTCCAATTGGCGAGCAGGAGGGGCAGGGCGGGGCGGGGTGCCGCGGAGACGTCGCGGGGCCGTAAGTTCGTCCCGCGCTGAGAAGCGCCCGCTGCATCCGCAGTCGGCCGGCTGTCGGGGTGTCCGCCTTTTGGCGCCAGACGCAAGGAAAGGGGGTCGAACCTCCCCAACCACTAGTCGAAAGTAGCCCCAGCCCGGCTTGCGCCGGCCGCCCTCACCCTCGCAGCCACAACTGCAACGGGAAGGACCCCAGTTAGCCATCCGAATTCCAGCTCGGACCCTCAAGGGGAGCCTGCAAGGCTATGACCTTCCCGGCTTTCGCCCTCTGGTGATGAGGGGAAGCTGGGACCAACCAAAGTTAATGTACCAGTGGGGTCAAGAAAGGAAGATGGGATCCAAATGGCAGAACCAAGCCCAGCCAGAGGACGCCGCCGCCTCCCCCGCCCCCACTAGCTATCACAAGACACCCCACTGCTTCCCCCTCATTTCTGCCCAGGCTGTCGGTTCCAACTTTTCCCCCTGCGAAGGACTGCCGGCTTCCACGGGACTCCCGCCCGGGCCCGTCAGCGCCACCTATTTGCCATTCCCCCCTTTTTTTTTTGACCGGTCACGCTGTCATCCTATCAGCCCGCCTCTGAGTCACATTTCACACTGCCAAGGAATGTTGGTGTCCCAGTGCCCAAGAAGCGACTTTGCACGTGCCTTCCTTATTTTCTTTTTAAGATTTATTTATTTTAGAGCATGAGTGGGAGGGGCACAGGGAGAGGGCGAGAATCTCAAGCGGACTCCGCCATGAGCGAGGAGTGAGGAGCTGGATGTGGGGCTCTATCCCATGACCCTGAGATCACGACGTGAGCTGAAACCAAGAGTCGGATATTCAACCAACTGTGCCACCCAGGCGCCCCTCTCCGTCTTTTTTAAATGCCTGTTAAATCTGTTAGAACCTCCCAGCGGCCACTGCCTGATTTTCCCATAAGCTACTTCTCTAGAATATTCAGAGTGGGACAACTCCCAGAGACTAGATCTGGGTCAAGGTGTTCAGGCCATGCCTGTACATCTCTTGCATGAAAACTATGAATAGTGATTGTTACCCACCAGACTGCCAGGCAACTACCTCTTTGGCTCCTGACCACCTGCCCCAATGCTTAAGCCACAAAAAGTCCAGCAGCCATCCCTTAAGAGATAAAAACATACAAACAACCACTGTTAAAAATACATTTATCATTAAAATATATTACATATATGAGAGAGGGGATGCATCATACACAGTTCAGAGGATTTGTTGACCCAGAAAATCCCATTTGTTTCACCAAACACCCACTTTCTTCGGTACCTTCATTTTCAAGCCACTGTATTGCCCTGAGGCTGAGTGGCCAGCCCCAGAGTTGCTGAGCCACATCTGAGTAGGAAAAGGGGTAGGGTTTGTATATACATATACACATGTCTTTAGAGCACTGGAAACATCTGGGGTGGCTGTGACCTGTTTATCCAGCAGATTCCACTTGCATTCTTGCTGTCCAATTCATTCTCCCTTTAGGACCCCAAAGGTTGTTCAAATATCTGGTCATGGGGAGCCCAGTCCAGGCTACAGGGAAGGCACTGACTATGCCCAGGAGGCACTCTGAGTGAGCACAGGAAATACAGTTATTTAAACATCTTTAAAGTTTAAAAAAATAGAGAGATCTGTGTTGAATAACTAAAGTTGAACATTGACTGTCAGTTTTATTGTGGCGGATTTCCCCCATGTCTTCAGAACTCAGAGTGACGGGACTGTGACAGCCATAGTGGGGGGGGGGGGTGTCAGGGCTCAGGAAACAGGCAGCTGCCGCTTTTGTTTCCAAGAGGCCTCACGACTTCTTGTGGTAGTTCTTGATCTTAAACAGGTGGGGCTGGTAATTGGCTGCCTCGAGTAAAATAGGAGAGGAGATAGGCTCAGGGTGAGTTGCAGAGGAATAGGTGAATAAATTCTTGAGCCTTCTTCTTCTCTGCCGTGTCAAGCTTTTGGTGACCAGCTGGGTTTCGAAGCAGTAAGCTGCCAAATATGCTAGCTGCATGAAAAACACAGAAGACAAATGATTCAGCAAAAGAAACACTACTTATTCTGGTACAGTTGAGTTGGGAGGAGTGCCCCAAAGCATTATTTTCTGCTTGAAAAAAACTATGTGAGGGTAAACTTGGCCCAGAGCTGGAGATTTAGTTCCACTACAGTGATCTTGGGACCTTCCTCAAGCACATTCCTCATAATGAGTCTCTCAGTATGCAGAGATGCTTTCCACAGACACTCGACTGCTTACCTAGAATATTCGCATCCAAATGATTTTTTGCTGATTTTTTCAGCAGTTCTCGCAGAAACATCATCAAGTAGTTGAAGACATTTTGGTGGAATGTAGGGAGGGTAGAAATGACCTGAAAGAGGGAGAATTGGCATTTGTCTTTTCATTCATTCATTCAATCATTTGTCAGACATCTACTATATTCCAGGAGCTGAGTACATGATCCAAGGACATGAGTAAGACTGTGCACGGGAAACCCTGATCACTTACCACTTGGCACAAGTGTCAAAAGAGAAGCACAGATCAAACGCTATGTGAATTTAGAGCTCAATAGCCTAACTATGTGTTCTCAAAAGGTTTACAGGAATAGAAGACATTTTAAGCTGGGTCTTGAATATAAGACAAGACTGGACTTGCAGAGGTAAGGCAAAAGAAAGTGTAAAAAAGGTAAGAGAAGGAAAACAGTGAGATAAGGAGAGAGAACACACTGAGAAGTCAATTTTAGCAGGAGTGCCCCTGTTTGAACAGGTGCTGAGCCTGGAGGGGTCGATCAGGCTAGAATTCAATGAGTACTCCAGCTATCTGCGTATCATCATTATCACGTGGGAAGCTTGTACAAGATATATTCCAAAAGAGATTCTGATTCAGTGGATGTGGGATGAGGCTCTGGAACCTATATTACTAGCAAGTTTTCTAGATTATTCTGCTATGGCCTGTTAATGTGTGAACTATTAGGCCAGATGGTTAAAAGTCTTGAACATTTGTTTAAGAAAATCATTAATTGGCAAATGGAGAGCCAAGTGTGGTTTTTGACCAACAGTGACGAGAGTGATTAGAGTTTTAGAGCATGTGGTCTGATGGCAGTATACAAAACAAATGAGCAGAGGGAAAGCCTGAATGCAGGGCTTAGAACCAAGGTGAGTGGACGAGAATGGAAGATGGGTGACAGATCAAGGGAACTGGGCATGTGGGAGGCGAGCAGAGGACGACTCAGAAATGACTCAGGTTTCTGGGTTGAGTCACTGGAATTCAGGGTGAAGCCATGAAAAGAAGAGGGGACATGAGAGGAAGAACAGGTTTGGGAAGGAAAGCTATGGAGTTGAGTTGCTAGGACACTGCGTTTGAGGGACTGCACCCACTTTGTTCCCTCAGGCCCCATGAGGCCTGGGGCTGCAACATGTGAATGCTCAACGCTTCCCCTCACCTGTTTACTCGCAGTGTAGTTGCCAGAACACTCCAAGCAGTTACGGTAGGTGTTGTAGCAGATGACGGGCTCTGGCAGGCTCTCCAGGAAAAGCAGCAAGGCTTCAGCTACAGAATGATTGCTGGCGGCTTTTGGCCCATCGTTAAGGAACTGGCGATGCCGTGCCGTGGTTAGGAAAAGGCCCGGGAGCGAGCACATGTCAGACATGCCGCCTGCCCCGTACGGCTCTGCTCAGAGCTAGGATGCCAGCCTGACATAGTGAAGGGGCCAAGCTGTTTGTCGGCTTAGTTGGGCCCTCCTGAGTTCCTGCTATATTGGTTGCTTAAAGTTGTAAAGTCTTCTCTATGCAAACTTTAAGTAAGAAAAAATATGATAGCTGAGGACACAAGATCTGATTTTGAGCCTTAAAATAATACTCCTTCTTTTCTCTCATCTCTTAATCATATTCACACATACACATGCACGCACACATACACGAATGTCTGAGGATACAGAGGGTTTCAATCATTCCAGTATCCAAACAGTCCCTGATATGCTCAAATTCCGACCTCAGGCCTGGCTGCTGAAACAGATCTTCCTGCAAAAAAAAAAAAAGAAAAGAAAGTCACCACATAATTACATTCTCAGAAAATCAGCCATGATCTCCTGACCTAGAAATATGATCACCACCAAGGTGCAAAAAGGGAGCAGTGACGTGAGGCCTTTGAATCAACCAGTAAACAATCTGATAAAGTTAGGGCTGATGCGGCTAATTCATCTTGCAGGCTTTCCCGAGCATGCTCCCATGACAGGTCTTCAAAGTCATAAAACATCTATTATAAAACTATAGGTAGGGCATAGTACTCACAACAGTAAGGGAAAACTTAAAACTATGTTTCCTGCAGTGTTGTGGAAGGATTAACCAAAAAAAGAAAAACGTGAAGAAAATATATCATTTATAAGATAGAAAAAGTTAAAAAGACACCACCTTGCTTTGTGAAAACAAGATTATGGCAATAAAGGTATTTCCATTAGTCCTAGCATGTCTTTATTAATTTGTTTTATTAAATGACTTAATGCCACATAACTGAAAATAATATTCTATGTATTGTTCAAGTTACACTTGAAAGGAGCTCTATGGAGAAGGCAGATACTAGCACAGTACTTAAGAACGTGACTTCTGTCCTCGATTCAGCAGCACATACACTAAAACTAGGACAATACAGAGAAGATTAGCATGGCCCCTGCGTAAGACTGTGACGTCTATAGCCAGACTCCCTGGGTTCAAATCCCCATCCTGCCCATTTATCAGCTCTGGGATTTTGACCAAGTTACTAGCCTTCCGGACCTCTGGTTCTTCATCTGAGAGCTATCATGAGAATGAACTGAGGCAATGCTGTTAAACACTTAGAATAGTGTTTGGGACACTGTAATAATAAGGGGGGGGCAGGGCAGCGGCGGGGGTGGGGGAGTAAAAAGAGAATGTCGTAAGAACGTACGTTGCTCCCAAGTGGTAAAGCTGTGGTAGACTATAGTTTGTATTAGTCTCCCTATATGAATGAGTCAGTGAAACTGACTGATCTGATCTCATGAAGCTTGCCCAAATCACTCTAGAAATCAGGCCTCCTGACTCATGGCCTGGGGGCTCCATCTGGTCTCCTGCCTCCATCTGGCTTATCAACAAGGTAGCCCCTCCCATTCCTAGAAACTGGCAAGAGTTCATCAAAAGGAGAGCAGGCTGACATCTTGAGAAGAATCCAGATGGCTCTCTACTTGGAGGACCCCAGAGGCCAGGGGAGGGAACATGCTGTACCGAGAAGGCCATCCTATGCAAGGCTGCTTCCCTTGGGGGTAATCAAGTGCTCTCTGTAATAGCAAGGTCTCATGTGGGTGTAAAACATGAACCTATCTGTCCCCACTCACTCCCTCGGGAAGGGACAGCTTTCCACAGATTCCTTGGGGTAAAAGCTTCTTACACCAAAAGTTCTTGGGGCTGATGCTCTTCCCCAAGGCAGTCTGGCCTCAATCAGGTCTGACTGCTTAACCGCCACCTACCTGCTGGACAGCATTTTGGTACAGGTAATCAACCATCATCCAGAGCTCTTTGGGGATTCCCAACGGGTTCTCCAACTGGACCCCATCATCTTCAGTCTGTAGGGGCATCAGAGTCTGAAAAGAAATAAAAAGCATAATACAAAGGCCAACCAATGGACCTTCTGACGGGCTGGCTCCAGGAGAATACAAGATAATGGGGGCAGCAAACCCACAGAGGAGGGAAAGCACTTCAATCCCCTAAGCAAACATTCCACAGGCAAAAAAATGAAATTAGGTGGCATAATCAAGGTACAGAAGGTGATTTTTGAGAATTAGGAGTGGGTTATGGCAAGCAGTTTCAATAAATCAGGTGAAATATGCATCATTTTCTTTGAAAAAACATCCTGCCAAGAGCATTTCACTGTCAGGAACAGGGAGACAGTGTGGTCTGGTGCAGTAAGGGCAGAGACTTAGGAGTCCAAAAACCTAAATGTAGGGGCCAGGTCCACTGTTAACTCACCATGTAACCTGTGACCAATCACTCTCCTTACTAGGCCTCTGTTTTCATCTTATATAATGGAGAGGATAGAAATCAAGAGTCCCTAAATTAAAAAGTGCACTGGAATGGGGGGGGGGATATGCACATTACTATAAATCGGCTCTGAAGTAGAGTCCTTGTATTCAAATTGTCTCCACAGGAGTCATTTACATCTCAGAAAATTTAGTTCAGGATGATGACCAAGTAATGATTAAAACAAAAAAAAGGAATAAAATCATGGGCCAGGGAAGCTTCGTATCTTAGTATCCATGGCTGAGTTTCTGTGATATACTATATGTGAAAGACTGAGAATATCCTGCTTCACTGGCTTGGCTGCTACAGTTATATATGCTTCCATATGGCATGAAACTCACCAGCTCTCTAATTGTTTCCAGTGGCAGGTCCAAGATCGGCTCCCTCATGTAGCACAATGTATGAATGGGAGATCCAAAACAGCTGGGCAGGTAGTTCCCAGACACAGACAAAAAGTAATCCTCTCCCCTGTCCAAGTGCAAAACCAGAATGTCTTCGATTTTGTCTTCACCTGAGTTGAGCTTTGTAGCTGTGGTCTTATTTACAAATAGCTCCAATTCAATCTCAATGGCAGAATCTGAAGAAAAACATTAGAAGTAACATTGGCTGGTGGGAGGCCAAGAGGAAAGGGGGAAAGAGGACAGCAGGGTCAAGGATCAGGCACAAAGGGCTGGGAAAGGATATCAGAGGTATCAGCCAACCAATAAGTATGTATGTGCTCAGCACTCAGAGGACACATGAACAAGGAGTTTATAGTCCAAGTGGGGATATAAAAACAACAAACAAAAACACGTGAAGAGGCAACTGCTATGAAATTCAAGTACAAAGGAGCACAGCTCAAGTTAGAATTATTAATACAATCAGAAGGCATGGATCAAAGAGCTTGCCCTGGGCCAGGTCACATGAAGACACCTGATCCAGGAGAAAATATAATGCAAGTATCAGCCTGTGAATTGTCCACAAAACAGGCTTTCATCCCTCTGCCACACAGCATGATGCAGAGTGCAAAGGAGAAGTTAGGGGAAAGACACAAATGGTACATTCCAGGGCCAGATATAATTTCTGGATTACCACCCCGTTATCTTTCCCTACAAGAGCAGACGCTGGGAGCTGATTATAGTGAGGCAGACAGTGAAAATGGGTCCTTCAAGAGCAGCACCTGCTTCCCAGCGATCTTCTGTCTTCTCTTTCTGTGAAATTATGGAACACACACATGGCTGAGAAAGCTTTTCAAGCTGACCTCATGCCCCTTCCTGTTTTATTTCTTATTTATGGATGGTTCCCCCACAGGGCTTTTAGAAGTTTCGATCAGACAAGAAATGCTCAGAAACAAAAAAAGCTTACTTGAGAAAAATAAACAGTCGGGGGAGAGCGTTCCCCAAACCAGCAACCAGGAACCTGGGAACGGAGGCCTCACCTGGCAGGAGGAAGCCTCTGCTGGGGTTGGCATTCAGCCACTGCTTACAGTAAGACTTTTCATCAGGCTTGTTGATGAATTCAAACTGACAGGGAACTTGTCCATTTTGAATTGTAAAGGACTGTACTTGCAACTGCATGTACTTCACATTCTGAAAACAGAACTGGGAACAGGCCCGGGACCAGTCAGATCAATGCCCTCTTCTTGGCGACCCGCCCAGCCACCCCAACTGGGCAATCTTTGCCTTGTCTGGAAAAACAATGAAGGACCACCTCTTTCAAATCATGTTTCTGCTTTAAGTATGTCCCTGGGAGGCCACGGCGGTCTGTGTTTAACCCAGAAACCCAAAAACTTAGGTTGTTTTATAAATAAATTTCCTGAGGGAATCAAAGTTCGAACCTTCTATTTTCTATACCCAAAGACCATTTCCAAAATACCTTTAAAAATTCCACCCCCAAACATAAAGACCAAGCACATCCTTCCAAGTAGCTGGACATCTAAGGCATTAAAAAATACCCACACCATAAATCCCCATTTGACTGACTTCTTGACATTGTCCATTCTGAATAATCTATGCTGTAGCTCCTCCACGAAAAATCTTCTGCCCTAACTTGACTTCCCCCACCACCCATCCCTTTTCTACACTGCCTGCCCTCCCACCAACACCGGTGTGTGTACCCAAGAAATTGTGACTCAACTTAATCTTGGTCAAAGCAAAACATCCAGAGGAAGACAACCCCCTGCAAGAATACAGACCAGCTATACTAAAACCAAACAAAACACCTCTTGGCTCATCTGTGCCATCATTTAAATCATGAACGGCCCATATGTGGGTGAAATCTATGAGCCACAAAGGTCAAAGACTTCTGATACAGAAGATCAAGAGAAGAACATAATCTAAACCAACAACCCCCCTCTCCTCTCAGCTAACACCAGCAGCTTCACTGTAACTAGAGGCGGCCCGTCTAAAAGACTGGAGTCCAGGGGTCGGACAGGTGGCTCCTAGATTTCTGAGGCCTCAAAGATGAGATTTAAGTTCTACAAATAGAAGAGCCTGTTGCCAATATTCTCAACATGTTCTTCCTACCTCTCGCTTAGAAAGGGACACAGAAGGAATGTTGGCATTTTCCATCTTGTCCAGGGAGTGAACAATCTCCAGAGTCTTCCGGTAACGTTCTTCGTTGACCATCTTCACCTGGGAGGGAAATAGCGGAGCCTGAGTGCCTTCTGCCCGTTTCCTCCTTTTCAGGAAAGAGGACATGCTGGGCACTGGGCAAGAGCAGTTGGCAGCCACACAGAAAGTGAAGACCAAATAGATTTAATTAACAAAGAGCCCAATTAACAATAGATTCAGAGGGGTTCTCCAGAGGCCGAGCTTGTGATGAAGTCAACTGCTTCCTGATGAGCAGGGAGAAGACGCAGGGGTGGAAGCCTGGTGGGCAGCTCTGCCTGGGTCGCAGCTCTAGAGCAGAAAGATGCCCAGTGACTAGCTCTACTTCGTTTGCTGCTATCCACAGGCCTGTGGCGAGAAACCTCTAGGGTTTGATTTCAAATAGCATTTCTCAAGTTTTTGTAACCTGTGTTCCAACAGCCAAGATTTTGTCAGGCTTTCCCTTCTGTATTGTGAGTTATAAACACAATTTTTGTCACTTTCCAATAAGAAAACTGTACCATTCGTTAGGCTTTTTCAAGCTACTCACACCCTCACAGATTCTGATATGCCTCTACCTGAACCCTTGAGAATGGATAATATAAAGAAACAGAAATCACAGAAGAAGAAGATAATAAGCAAAAAGATGTTCAACCTCACTAGCAATCAAAGAAATGTGATCTAGAATAATGAAAGATCTCCTTCTTTTGGCTCCCTGGGTTGGCAGAAATTTAAGACAGGTAAAATCCAGTATTAGCCAGGGTGTGGGAAATAAGCTCATATAGAGTTGGCAGAGGTGGGAGGATGAGGGAACTCTACCTTTACTGACATGGAAAGATCTCCTAAGACATAGTCAGTAGGGGAAAAAAAAAGATGTTCTCTCAGGACAATATGTGTAATATGATCTCTTTTACAAAAAGAACAAAACATCCTCTATGTTGTATATAGAATACGGACATGTTTGTAAATGCATAGAAAAAGTCCTGGAAAGATACAGTCCAAAAAGCAAAGGGGAACTTCCATGAACATAGAAATTTATACTATAATTAGGAATTAAATTTAAATTAGAACAATTTTTTTTTTTAATTTTTAAGTAACCTCTATGCCCAACGTGGGGC